CAAGGGCGGTAGCGGCTTCCACCGCTTTCCTGAGAGGTATGCCGTTGGAGGACATCTGCAACGCTGTGACTTGGGCTACTCCACTCACCTTCGTGAAGCATTATGCCCTGGATGTCCGGTCTACTCGTCGTGTGGCGTTGGGTCAGTCTATCTTGCAGACGGCGCAGGTGTAGGGCCTCGGCCCCTCCTCCAGGTAAGAGTTATTGCTTGCTATTCTCCCAAGGGTGTGATGCACAGAGACCACGAAGAAGATAGACAGGTTGCTTACTGTCAGATCCCAAGCAGGAGAACAAACCCACGTTCCAAAGAAGTAAGATTTATTTCCAAAGCATGGTTAGTCATGAACATACAGAAATTGTCCAGAATGAATACAATACACAGGGGCAGTATAATATAGGAACTTCAAACTTGGTTAACCCAATGGGCTCAATTCCCTCGCAGGGGAGTTGATTAGAAAAGGCGCGATGCAGCCTGAGAACTCCAACGGCTCATATCATAAACACAAGGTCAGTTCACACGGGAATCTAATGAAGCAGAGCAAGAAGACATAACACTCCGTCATCCACCTGTAGGAGAAGCTTGGCAGTTACAGTTGCATACCAGAAGAGAATAACACGGGGAGGGAGGGAAGAGGGACACGTCCCCGAGAGATGGCAGCTCGCTGACACCTTCCTGAGCTAAGATAAAAATCTGTGAGCTGGTGGCTAAAAAACTGTGAGCAAGCTCACACACACTGCCCACAACCAGAGAAAAATGTCTTGTTATTAGCTGTGACGACCATTTTAATAATTACGGTGATGTTTCAAATTTTAATAGTATCACATTAACGAATATATTTTGTATAAATGGTATTCTGTTACTCGCCCTGGGCCCGCTACTGGAAAGGGCGGGCTATAAATGTGAGGAGATAAAGAAATAAAAGGTACCTGGTACGTTGTTCCGGGTTTTGTTTTGTTTTACGCATTGTATGTATTCTATTCGATTCGATCACACTGTATGTATGGTGTTGCTTGTTTGTTATTTCTCAACAAAATGTTAATTGTATATATCAAAAAAAAAGGTCGGAAACCACCGCTTTAGATCTCACCACAGGCTGGATGACAAAAAAATCCCCTGAAAATGAGAAAGGGTGGAACGTAGATTCTTTGGACCAGAGCCAAGGTGTTAAGGTCTGATGGATGCAAACAGGCAATCAGATTTATTGCTTGGGACGGTGTACTCTTACAACACATTCTCCGGGAAGCAAAACTCAGCTTGTGACTTCCATTCATTGTTCTCACAGGAATACAGAAGCCAAGTCCACCCCAAACGTCACAGACAGCTAAGCACGGTTATAGTCCGTCTATTAACTATGCTTCGGCAAAGAAAGGGAGGAAATTGTCAACCGAAGGAAAGCAGCCCTGGGTAAATACCGCATTCTCAATACAAGGTAATGCCACGCTGTTTCGGCTTCAGTTAGTTCTGTTATCTTGTGCAGCACCTTACATTCTTTTCAAGCATGGTTGATACAGAGCCTGTAAGTCGCTTCCTGCTGCTCTCAGCCCACAAGGGAACTGTGGGTCTCCTTTGGCATATGGGCCAATTTTGGATGAACTTGGAGTGGTTTGTATTATCTCTATGAAAGAGAGAAACTTGGCAGCCTACAGAACAGCCGGTAAGGAGAAACCATGCCGGTGATTAAAGCTCAGCTGACTACCTGCTCCCCTGCCCAAGACAAACGCACTCAAAATCGGACCTCAACGCCAAGGGTTGAAGAACCTGCTTTCCACTCTCTCTCAGCCTGATAAAAAATCCTGGTGAGTTCGAAAGCTCACACGACGCCCGAGACACGGGTTTCCGGACTCACTGTAATTTCTAATAACCCTGTGGCTCAAAAATGATGGTCGCAGTCACAGAACAGACCGCAAAAAGAAGAAACTGTGAGGTCACTGCGCTAGAAAATATTTCAATAACAATCACAAAATTTATACAAAACTGTGTACAAAAAAAATCATATAAATGCACAAGGCAGCTGAAAATGGTGTGACGATGGTCTCCGGAATGTTCTATCTAATGATAGAACATTCCGGAGACCATCGTCACACCATTTTCAACTGCCTTGTGCATTTATATGATTTTTTGTACACATTTTTGTATAAATTTTGTGATTTCTAATAACCCAACAGAACCCTCCTTCTAATCGTCTTAATAGACTGTTCTTAACATGCTGTATCTATCACGCCATAAAACGGGTTTACTGACCTTGGTCAATTATCTCATGCTTCAAACGGCCTCTCCCTTTGTCTATTATCACCCTTCTTTACTGCACCTTTCTTCGCCACATGTGAGAGAGGCCAGGACCTGTGACTGCTCCCGTCCTCCATCAAACTACCCAGGCTGTTCAAGTCTCCCCCCCTTTCTAGACCTCTCTCTGAAGAGGAGGAGGAGATTTGATTTATACTCCACCCTTCACTACCCAAAGGAGTCTCAGAGCAGCTTACAAATTCCCTTCCCTTCCCCTCTCCACAACAGATGCCCTGTGAGGTAGGTGGGGCTGGGAGAGCTCTTTTGAGAACTGCTCTTGAGAGAACAGCTCTGAAAGAACTTGTGACTGACCCAAGGTCATCCAGCAGCTGCAAGTGGAGGAGTGGGGAATCAAACCCGGTTCTCCCAGATTAGAGTCCGCGCACTTAACCACGACACCAAACTCTGCTAATCTCCTCTCCCCACCACCACCCTCACGTTGGTTTCCGTAAAAATTAAGGAAATGATTTTCTTTCCTATTGTATCTGACGCACGAAAACTTGTACCAGAACACATGTTAAATCATTAAGATACCGCTGTTTTTGTTTTGCTATGCTTTGCATCAGTTTGCTTTGTTCTATAAATGGCCCACAGATTCCATTTTGGGTTTTTGGTTTGCATGGACTGATATGGCTGGCTGTTTGTTTTTTCCCTGGTATCATCAATCAGGTGTGAATCTGTCAGGGACCTGAATGGCTCAGGTTGTTATACATAATGATGATAGAGAGATCAGAAGTTCCAGCTGCTCTCTCAAATGATCAAGATGAAAAGACAAACTAATCAGGGAAGAAGCTGTCTGAACACATGAGAGAATCAAATGACATCAGTAAAGCGTTATGGGACAACACAGCATGTCAAGAACAGTTAAAGAAGAGGAGGAGGAGGAGGAGAAGGAAGAAGAAGAAGAAGAGGAGGAAGAAGAGGAGGAAGAGGAGATTGGATTTATACCCCACCCTTCACTCGGAGTCTCAGACCGGCTTACAAACTCCTTTCCCTTTTACAGAAACCAACATGAGGGTGGGGGGGAAGAGGGGAACTTAAAATATACACTGGCAAGAGGAAACGGAGAGAATGAAACAAACACGGTGGTAAGAGCTGCCAATGAAACAATGTTATTTTAATCTGCACGGCCCATCAGATACCCAATGTCCAATCAAAACCCTTGCCGGGCAAGAACCCCATCTTGCCCCACCCACTTTCTAAAACCAATCAGTGGGGAGAGACGAGGGTCATATCTGGAGTCTGACCGCGTGTTCTACAGGCCTCTACGGAGGAGTTTCGAGAATGCTCTACGATAACCCCCCTGGAAGTCCCTAGAAAGGGTAAAAAGGAGGGTGCGTTTCTATTAAGCCGATGGGCACAGCAGTGTGGCCAAAGAGGATGAGGAAGGCCCTTGCATTTGGAAGAAGAAGAAGAAAAGAAGAAGAAGGCGGAGATTGGATTTATACCCCACCCTCCCCTCGGAGTCTCAGACCGGCTTACAAACTCCTTTCCCTTCCCCTCCCCACCACAGACACCATGTGAGGTCGGTGAGAGAGCTCTGACAGAAACTGTCCTTGAGAGAACAGCTCTGAAAGAACTTGCGACTGGCCCAAGGTCATCCAGCAGCTGCAAGTGGAGGCATGAGGAATCAAACACGGTTCTTCCAGATTAGAGTCTGCGCACTTAACCACTATACGGAACTGAAAGACAGTAAGATGGAGCCTCAGAACGTAGCTAAGCAGAGGACACGTCCGCTCCTTTCTACTGAAAGGTATTAAAATTTGGCCCTGATGCAAACGGCCAAGGAGAACTGGAGTTTTATAGGCTGCTGGAGGCAACACAGACAGACAGAACGGGGCACAAGGAACTAGGAACTTTACAGGGACATAAAGGGCTCCCCAGGGGAACACGTGGAACTTCCTTATACTGAATTCTTGGTCCCTTGAGGTCAGTGTTGTCTACTCTGACTGGCAGCCTCTCTCCAAGATCTCAGGTAGAGGTTTTTCGTACCACTTACTGCCTGGTCCTTTATAACTGGAAGTGGCGGGGACTGAACCTGGGAACTTCTGCATGTCAAACAGAGGTTCTTCCACTGAGCCACAGCAGTTCCCCCCTGGTCCATCAAGATCGGTATTGTCTACTCGGACTGGCAGCAGCTCTCCAGGCGGAGGTCTTTCCCATCACCTGCTGCCTGGTCCTTTTTAACTGGAAATGCTGGGGATTGAACCTGGGACCTCCTGCCTGCCAAGCAGAGGCTCTGCCACTGAGCCAAGGCCCCTCTTTACAGCTCTCCAGGGTCTCAGGCAGAGATCTTTCTCATCACCTGCTGCCTGGTCCTTTTTATCTAGAAATGCTGGGGATTGAACCTGGGACCTTCTGCATGCCAAGCAGAGGCTCTTCCACTGAGCCACAGCCCCTCTTTACAGCTCTCCAGGGTCTCAGGCGGAGGTCTTTCACATCCCCTGCTGCCTGGTTCTTTTAACTGGAGATGCCGGGGATTGAACCTGGGACCTCCCACATGCCAAGCAGAGGCTCTTCCACTAAGGCACAGCTGCACCTTCTAAGCATTAGTGAAAACAGATCATGAGAGCCAGAAACTTGCTTTTTTAAATCCCAGACTCCTAGGGAAGTCAGCTACAAATGCCACTCTTCCATTTCATGTTCACGCGCACCGATAGATTCCCGAGACAATGCTTGCTTACAGTGCGAAACACAACTGTGAAAAGGCTACTTACCACAGGCAGCCTTGACTGCAGCATTTGGAGATCGTCATAACCATAGATCTGCTTGAAGACACAGAAGAAGGGGGGGGGGAACTGAGTTATAAGACCCTTCTTGCATGCATTCACCATGTCTTGAGCTTCACTGCAGGGCCTTTCTAAGGCCACCAGCATTTGTTAAGTCAAATGCCGTCATGGAAAACAAGAGGCTACCCTAGAAACTGCTACAGTTAAGGGCTTGTTCGTGGAGCACACTAGAATAGATAATAGCCTTGTGGTTTTGACAGCAAAGATCCTCTCCGGTATCCGATAACACTGTACAGCGGGACCTCTAGTGCCGGACAATTTATTCTCTTCCTCTTGTAGAAGAGGGACTGCGGTCAATAGAATGCCCTGTCTACAGTCACCTACCGCACCCGTGGGGAAAGCAACATTCGAACCTGGGGCTTCCTAATTTACACCTCCATCTCTTAAGCCACTGTGTTTCAAGCCACTGTGTTTCAATGCAAAGAAGGAAGCACAGAAAGACTCGACAACAGCTTCTGTAGGCCGCAGTAGTTCTGCCTTCCACGCCCCCAGAAGTAGTATCTTGAAATACACTACTATGGAATGCTGTAAACAACCCTGTTCAGTTCAGACAACATGTGAAACCATGGTTTAATTAAACTAACTACGGTATGATTGTCTGGATGTAGGCCATGCCGCTAACAATGGTTGGTTAGGGTCCATCAACTCAGGTTTTAACTCTACCTATACATAATTAACTCTATCTAGCTATATGTAATGGCGGGCAAAGTCTGTTTCAACGTATCTGAAGAAGTGCGCATGCACACATGAAAGCTTCTACCCAGAATTAAACTTTGTTGGTCTTAAAGGTGCCACTGGACTCAAACTTTGAACTCTTAACTCCATTAGTCTTGTGGATTCACACGATAGAGATGTCTTGGTGACGGTCGTTCCAGCATTTGTTGAGATGAACCAGCTCACCAGGTCCGTCAGTTCAATCCTCCGGCTCCACAAATTAACCGTCAGTTCAATCCTCCGGTTCCACAAATTAATTAAAACATAATGTTCCCTCTAAGCTGTGGAGTCTTGTGAGCAAAAATTCTACTTTGTAAGCTACTGGCGTTAAAATTGTGAGCAATTTGGCTACTGCATAAATTACTTTGCTCTGGAGGCCTCCTTCCTGAGCGAAGACAAAAATGTGTGAGCCAGAGGCTAAAAAACTGTGAGCTAGCTCACACTGACTCAGCTTAGAGGGAACACGGGTCCAGACCAATGCTCCCTTCTAAGATGTGGAGTCTTGTGAGCAAAAATTCCACTTTGTGAGCTACTGGCATGAAAGTTGTGAGCCAGCGATTTGGCACGGCTGTTGGTCTGTCTGTCCGTCCCCCCTGCCGCCACCGCCTTGCACCTAAGCTCAGCCTGGGAATCAATGCTCCCTCTAAGCTGTGGACTCTTGTGAGCAAAAAATTTAGTTTGTGAGCTACCGGCATTAAAGTTGTGAGCAGGTAAATTGGCTACTGCATAAATTAGTTTGCTCTGGAGCCATCTTTCCTGAGCTAAGACAAAAATGTGTGAGCCAGAGGCTAAAAAACTGTGAGCTAGCTCACACTAACTCAGCTTAGAGGGAACACAGGTCCTGACCTGGACTGCCCAGGCTAGCCTGATCTTATCAGATCTCAGAAGCTAAGCAGGGTCAGGCCTGGTCAGTATTCGGATGGGAGACCACCAAGGAATACCAGAGGCAGGCAATGGCAACTGACCTCTGAAGTTCTCTTGCCAGGGTCGCCGTGAGTCTGCTGCTACTCAAGCGGAAAAGGAAAAGAAACACCGACTCACGCTAACTAAAATAATCCATGGTTTCACCTGATACCTGAACTAAGTCAATGTGTTAAAAATGTCCGGGTTGAAACGGCAAACAGAACCGAGGCAGAAGAGGAACCTAAACAGAAGAATTGCCTTGCTGGGTCGTCTTCCACCATCAGTTCCGCAGTTCATAAGAATCATAGAATTGGAAGGGATTATAGAATTGTACCTAAGTGTAAGACTTGACGTTTACTGCAAAAGCTGATCTGTCCGGCTTTTGGAATAATGGTGCAGAGAGAGGCGGTCACTCCCAAAGTGTCTCATTAGTGACTTCGGGAGAGAGACCGTGGACCGAAGAAGCACATCACTAGTTGGGAGAGCGGCCGTGGCCAGCGTTAGTCCAATAAACCCAAGGAAACTCAAGCTCAGAGGTAAAGGAACCCACGCGTACATGTGGTACTCGGAACCAACATCGCTATTCGCACAGGATATTAGCCTCTGTGACTTCTAGCAGTTTCTGTGGAGGTGAGGGGCAACTGATCCACCCACCCACCCCCCGGCTCTCCACTTGAGGGAGAAATGAAGCAACACGTAATACAAGAGGAGCAAACTCACACTACAATAGATCACGATGGGTAGCCACGTTAGTCTATCTGTAGCAGCAGAAAAGAGCAAGAGTCCAGGAACGTAAGAACATAGGAACATAAGAGAAGCCAATATTGGATCAGGCCAATGGTCCTTCCAATCCAACACTCTAGTGGCCAAAAATACCAGGTGCCCTCAGGAGGTCCAACAGTGGGGCCAGGACATTAGAAGCCATCCCACTGTTGCCCCCCCCACCCCCAGGCACCAAGAACACAGAGCATCCCTTGCTCCAGACTGAGAGTCCCTATCTATACCTTGTGGCTAATAGCCACTGATGGATCTCTGCTCCAGATGTTTATCCAATTCCCTCTTATAAGAACCTAAGAGAAGCCAATGCTGGATCAGACCAACGGCCCATCCAGTCCAACACTCTGTCACACAGTGGCCAAAAATACCAGATGCCCCGAGGAGGTCCAGCAGTGGGGCCAGGACACTAGAAGCCCTCCCACTGTTGCCCCCCCCCCAAGCACCAAGAATACAGTGCATCCCTTGCCCCAGACTGAGAGTTCCTATCTATCTAGTGAAATTTGTGGCAGGGGAGGCGCTTTTTTGACTCGTGGCTCACTTCTTCGGACACCTCAAGCATCTGAAGGAATCATAGAATGTTAGAGTTGGAAGGGGCCTTGCAGGTCATCTAGTCCAATCCCCTGCACTCTGCAGGAGCACAGCCGAAAGATAGCCCTGCAACATACCCGAAAGATGGTCGTCCAGCCTCCGCTTGAAAACGAGTAAGAAGTGACTCACAAGAGCTCACGCCCTGCCACAAATTCCGTTACTGTTTAAGGGGACTCTTGCTCTTCCCACACGACAATGCTTACACTGGGCAGAAAGTCAAACAGTGTGACCTGTCCTATAATCTGTAGATCATCCCTTCTGGACACAGATGTCCTGGAGACTCCAAACCACCTGGCGGCACAGCCAGGGAGGTGCTCCAAGCCGTCTAGGGGAGGTTACAAAGAAGCTGCTTACTGGGTAGGCAGGTAGAAGTCCTCCGGGTCCCACAATATACTGGTTATGTAACAAGGGCGGTACACCTTGGGGCAGGTTGGGGGGTGCTTTGCCTGTAGAACCAAAAGAAACATTTCTTTTAAAACGGCAACATCTTAAAAAGCAGGACGGAAGGAAGAAGAGGGGGGAAAGCCCTTTGAGTTCTGAAACGGGTTACTGAGCCAGCCCCCAAGATCACCAACGATCACCATTCATCACATAGGTGACTTCCATCTGAAACATTTTCCCCTGAAGCAGTCGAGAGAGAAACGAACCAATGAACGGACCAATCTGGGGTGCTGATTTAGGCTGGTATGTGGCCGCCATCTCCCTGCCCTCGTTTCCAGCTCTGGCTCATCCTACGCAGCGTCTTCTGTCTCCACGCCCTACCGCTTTCCCTTTTCCACTTTGGTGCCACGCTGCCAGTTTGAGTAGACAATACTGACTTTGATGGGTCAAGGGTCTGATTCAGTGTAAGGCAGCGTCATGCGCTCATGCCCCGTGCCTGACCCTACTTTCCACTGCGAGAGTTCGGAGGGAACTGTGACTGACCCAAGGCCACCCAGCTGGCTTCATGTGGAGGAGTGGAGAATCAAACCTGGTTCTCCCAGATTAGAGTCCACCACTCTTAACCACGACGGCTCCAAGAGAGACTGGGCAGACGTGTCCCTGTCTTCCTCCCAGATTTTCTTCTTCTTCTTCTTAACACTTCGCTAGGAAAGAATCCACTGGCCTTCTTTGGCAGCTGCCTCAGGCTCTTCTCTCTCCTCTCCTTCTTGCCTTGTGCCACCCTACCCACCTCGCTTTTTAACTGCATGTGGGATGCTGAAGCTCAGCTGGATTCGGCTGCCAAAACGGAGAGCACAGCGGAAGGGGAGGGAAATTCGGGTTTACGCTATGAAAACAGGACGTGCGCAAGGGTGGCTCTTGGGAGAATAACTACACCTGCTGTTGGGGCTATCTGCCGGCTGTGGAGGATGTTCCGCTACACTCAGCTGGAGAAGATCAGTTCACGTCGGTGGGCAGATCCTCTCTGTAGGTTTCCGGAGGTCAGCTGATGGATTTGCCTGCAGTTCCCATGGTTGCTTCAACTATTGTTTTTTTTTTAATGTTTTGCCCATGGCGTGAGCCACCTTGGATCTCTGCTTGCAGAGAACAAGGTGGGACATAAATACGTTTAAATGAATCAACCAGTGACCACACTAGAGGTGCGTGTTTACCAGCAGGGCTGTTTTTGGGCAGGAACGCACAGGAACGGAGTTCCGGCTGGCTCCCAAGTTGGCCACACCCAGCAGGAACTCATTAGCATAATAGGCCACACCCAAAACAGAAACTCATTAGGATTGGCTACATTAGGGGTGTGTGGCCTAACATGCAAAGGAGTTCCTGCTACAAAACAGGGCCCTGGGTTTTGACCAGAAACAAGGTAAACAGAATAAAAAGCAAAAGGTGGGTGTGGCTGGATGACCACACTCCTGGTAACATGGGGATGCGGCTTAATATGCTAATGAGCGGTGCAGTCAGGGGTGTGGCCTAATGCGCTAATGAGTTTCTGCTTCTGGGTGTGGCCTAATATGCTAATGAGTTCCTGCTGGACTTTTTCTACAAAAAAAAAGCTCGGTTTACCAGTGAGAATGAAATGGGGCACAGATTTCTGCAGGAGAAAGGGAATTACGCACGGGCAAGGGATCCTGAGACTGACTCCTGCAACCTTCTTCTGTTCGTGGGGTGAACTCTGCCTATGTGGATGCAACGCACTGCAGCTTATCTTCAGCCACTGGTCAGCATGCTTTTGCCTGGCACTGAAACGCGAGCTGACCGCAAAGATTCCGGCTTGGCCCATCTGAATTCCCTAGCTGGCCAGAACTGGTCATGCCGGCCAGCCTTAAGTGACACAGGAAAGTACTTGAGTGGTGGACTCTACTAACAGAATTCATGTTGTCTGATGTCAACCACACTGGGCCCCCGCTCGCCTCATGAAAACCATGCGAGGCCTATGTGGGAAGGCGTGTGGTAGCTGAGGAAAGCTACCGGGAAATAAATCCCTTGGTTATTTGAAGCAATTCGGGGGTGGGGTGTTTTGTTTTTGGTAAAGATGACCTGCCAGACGGCTGATAGAGCAGGTTAAGATTGTAACCGAGGGGTCCCCAGCAATGTTCCCTCTAAGCTGTGGAGTCCTGTGAGCAAAAATTCTCCTTTGTGAGCTGCTGGCATTAAAGTTGTGAGCAAGCGATTTGGCTACTGCATCAGTTAGCTTGCTCTGGAGCCCTCCTCCCTGAGCTAAGACAGAAATGTGTGAGCTGGAGGCTAAAATTCTGTGAGCTAGCTCACACTAACTCAGCTTAGAGGGAACACTGGTCCCCAGCCTCTCTGCCTCTGTGGCCACCTCTGAAATTCTGAAAAAGTACAGTGGGCACAATCACAAAATGGCTGGCACAGGAGGTTGGGCCAATCGCCAAATGTCAGGGAGCAAGGTTATATGTAACTCCAACAGTAACCCTTCAACATTTCAGGCGCCATTTTGGAGACCCCTGGTGTAACCGACGAACACCTTGTGATACCCTAACATAAGCAATGAAGAGAATTAAACTAACCACGGCCCCGGTCACACGGGCCGGATATCGCGGGGGGAAGGCGTGGCTAATTGCCCCGGCGCAGTTTGATCCGCAATTACGCGATCAGACGCGCCGGCGGCACACCACAGGTTCTTCCCTCGGCGCCGGTGGGTAAACGAGGGACCGAAGGAGAATGCCGTGCACCGGCGCGATCACACCACGGGCATCTGGAGGCAGCCCGTGGCAAACGTTTACTAGTACCTTGGAGGTACTAGTTTTTTAACATGCATTGTCGGCGGTAAGCCATGGGTGCGCTCCACTTCCCAGATGTTGGGGTGTGATCGCGCCCGGATAGTCCGCCCACCATCCGTGCCTCTCCCGCGGCAACTTTGCCATGTACCGGGGCCCATGAAGCCCTTTGGTTGACTAAGCTTTGCTTCTGCGGAAATGGGAACAAGCCCCTTCAACTAAAGGATGCAAACGCTCCTCCAAGGCAATCCCATGGGTGACTACATGAATCTGCTGAGTCAGACCACGGATCGTTCCACTCTGGCTGGACTGGGGAACAAAGCCTGGACTTGGCCACTGAGCTACGAACCCTTCCCATACAGAATTTCCCTGTAAGGATTTTAAGGCCCCCTGCACTTGAGGAGAAAATGCTTCCTCCTGCCTCTTTGGCTCTGATCAGAGAAACTAATTCCACCTCTGCATCTGTCATGATCTGGGCTGTGCCACCGGAGGCCTACTAGGCCCTGGGAGCCTGGGCTAGCAGTAGGGGAGGCTGGGCCTACAAACCCCAGAAGCCCCTGGGAGGTTTTGGCGCCGATTTTGACCAATAGGGAAAAAGAGGGCTGGGGAATAAAAGAACTGGTGCAAGAGGAAAAGCTGTTCTTCCCAGGAAACGGCCAGGAGAGACGCTGCTGTGGGGAAGAAACCCTCATCCTGAGGGAAGGGTGAGTAGTCTAAGGCCACTTGAGACAGTGAGCTAGGGACAGTATATATTTAGATGCGTGAGGGCATTTAATTTCTTTTCTTTTCACCCACTTACTATTATTCTGCACCTTGACTGTTTGACCTCCTATAAAATAAACCTTTTCCTTGTTGTTCACTCTGCCTGGTCCTCACGCCTATTATTCAGCCAAAAGGGAGGTCTGAAGGTCTTGGGAGGGTGCTCTGGGCCTTCTCAAGGGATCCTAAATCCAGAGTGGTGGCAGCGTCAGGTGACACCCCACCTGACCTGTGACAGCACCCCACTACGTGTCCACTTTCAGTCACAAAAGCTGACCTCATCATGACTGACAGAATTAGAAGAACAGAAGACGACATGAGATTTATACCCTGCACTTCTCTACCTGAAGGAGTCTCAGAGCGGCTTACAATATCCTTTCCCTTCCCTTCCCCACAACAGACACCCTGTGAGGTAGGTGGGGCTGAGAAAGCTCTCTTGAGGACTGCCCTTGAGAGAACAGCTCTGAAAGAACTTATGACTGACCCAAAAAGGTCACACCAGCAACCGGTTCTCCCCGATTAAAATCCACTACATCAAACTGGCTAGATTTTTTAAAAACACACACACACATATCCTGGCTTATATCCTGCGGATTCTGCAAACAGAACTGTCAACATAAATAAATGTACATTCTGAACAGAATTGCTCAAGTTCTGGAGTGTTTTTTTAGCAAGAAGTTATGCTCCCACGATTCGTCTTTTCAAATAACTGGAAACATTTCCGTAAAGCGTTTGGGAAAGTAACGGCAGGAAAGGAGGCGTTTATCGTTACTTTTTAACGCATGCATTAAATGCTACAGACATCTCTCCCCATCAAATATTCCCACACATTAAAAACGCAGGCAACTTTATTTCACTGGCCAGTGCGCAGAGCGGGCTGCAAAAGGTACAAGTCTTTTTAAAGTAAAGGCACGGTATTTCCCGGCGCAGTTATAAGGCTGGCCGAGAGGTGCTCAACGGCAGACCTGCAGGGCGGAGTCCTCTCTCCCTACATCCACGCGACCGGTTGTTAGTATTGCGAACCTGAAGACACTAAGGGGGCGGCCCTCGTGGTGGGGGCCGGCAGGGAGACGCTGGTCACGTTCGGGCCAAGGCTGTTGGTAGCGCTGGCCATGCTGGAGACCGCAGAGGTGGTGCTAACGACCGGGGTGGAAGCAACCGAAGCGGCTGCGGGAGGATGGAGCGCAGCGGAGTTCTCAACGCTAGTGTGCTGGAAAGGAAAGAGAAAGAGACACACATACGCAGATACACAGACAGAGAAAGAGAAAGGGGGTGTTAAAAAGCAAGCGGGGGACCGCAGGGCGTAAAACTCTGTAGGCAAGTGGCAGAGGGGGACACGCTAGCACGGCCGGCCTCTGTGTGGCTTGCGCGGTGGTCTCGTGGGGGGCTTTTTGACAGCCCCCCCCCTCCGGCTCTCCCTGATGTCACAACAGAGCTCAAACGGCATGTGGCAACTCAAGGAACTTTCCCAGGGATTTCCTGCAGGGGAGGTCACCGCAAGGCAAAAAATCTGCTCCATTAGAGAAGAGATTGGATTTATACCCCGACCTTCCCTACCCAAAGGTGTCTCAGAGCGGCTTACAAACTCCTTTCCCTTCCCCTCCCCACAACAGACACCCTGTGAGGCAGGTGGGGCTGAGAGAGCTCTGACAGAAACTGCTCTTTTTCAAGAAAAGCTCTTATCAGAACTACGGCTTGCCCAAGGTCATCCAGCAGGTACAAGTGGAGGAGTGGGGGAATCAAACCCGGTTCTCCCAGATTAGAGTCAGTGCACTTAACCACTACACCAAACTGGCTCTCATTAGGACCCATTACTGAAGTACTACCACAAATCCCACCAAAAAACCCCCCACCCTTAAAAGTCGTTTTTCGTTGCTGTATGTGAATTTGGGGGAGCATGCATGCACACAGCGCTTTGCTTTAAACCCAGAGGACGTCACCCCAGAAGGGGATGGTGCCAAATATCACTCGGCTTGAGGTTTTCCATCCTCGTGTGCACGGCTGTTGGTCGGTCTGTCCGTCCGTCCGTCCCCCCCGCCGCCTTGCACCTAAGCTGGGCCTGGGCATCAATGCTCCCTCTAAGCTGTGGAGTCTTGTGAGCAAACATTCTACTTGGTGAGCTGCTGGCCTTAAAGTTGTGAACGAGCCATTTGGCCACTGCATCCATTAGTTTGCTCTGGAGCCCTCCTTCCTGAGCGAAGGCGAAAATGTGTGAGCCGGAGGCTAAAAAACTGTGAGCTAGCTCACAGTAACACATCTTATAGGGAACACTGGTGGCAGCTGCTACCAAAGGCAATATTTTTAAAGTCTGCACAGCCGGTCAGCTCTCCAGCGGCCAATCAGAAGCCTTGCTGGGCCACAGGCCCTACTTGACCCCGCCCACCTTCTAAGAGCGCTTGGCAGGTGCCAGGAAAGGTGTCAGCAGGCACTGCGTTGGGGACCCCCGCCACAGAAGAAGCCCCCATAGGAGGCAAACCTCGCATCAAGGCAGCCCTAGGTTGGGGTGGGGGGCTCCAACTGAAGAAGAGAAGAAGAGGAGGAGGAGATTGGAGTTATACCCCGCACTTCACTACCTGAAGGAGTCTCAGAGCGGCTGACAAACTCCTTTCCCTTCCCCTCCCCACAACAGACACCCTGTTAGGCAGGCGGGGCTGAGAGAGCTCTTTTCAAAAACTGCTCATGAGAGAAACAGCTCTGACAGAACTATGGCTTGCCCAAGGTCATCCAGCAGCTGGAGGAGCGGGGGAATCAAACCCGGTTCTCCCAGATTAGAGTCCGCACCCCTAACCACTACACCAAACATACAGCTATAAGCTCAGGACAAGCTACCAAAAGTCTGGGCATTTCCCCCCTCCTGCGGAAAAGCCTGGCTCTGTGGGTGTCTTCAGGGAGGAGGAAAGTCCAGCAGATCTCAAGGCGCCCCCGAAGTCACTTACCGTGTGCAACATGGCTGACGAGAGTGCAGAGGCCGAAGAGAGGCTGCTCTGATGACTGGAGAGGGAACTGGGAGAAACAGACACGAGATGCGAGTTAGGCAGTGCGCGTGGCCTGAGCATCGTGACTGCGTGCGCCAAAGCCGGGGAGGGGGGAATCAGGTGAGGTGGTGAAAGCGCTCTCTTGTGATCAGTCGCTCGCGGAGCATCTCCCCATGCTGCCGCAGACCTGGGTTTGTCCCGGCACCCGATGGCCCCCAGAAGCCAGACTTGCAGACAAGATGCCTTAAACAGCCGACGGAGTGCCTGGTGGCCCCCACACCTTCTACGAGGAGTGGGTCAGTGGGAAGATCCGGTTCTCGAGTTCCAACCTCCTAACTTGGTCCATAGCTAGGGTGGGGCTACTGGGGGCTCCGCCCCCTTCCTTAAAGGGCCGCCCCCTGCTTCTCCCCAAAAGCATTTAAGGGGATCCTTCAAATCAGGGGTGTCAAACATGCAGCCTGGGGGCCGGATCAGGCCCCTGGAGGGCTTCTGTCAGGCCCGCAGTGGAACCGGCTGTCTTCTGCTGCTTCTTCTTCCAGTTCTGCTGCTGCTGCTGCATCATCGTAGGTTTGCAGCTTACAGATACACACCTGAACAGCATACTCAAGATTGCAACAGCACAGACGTTTTGATGCCATAATTCAGAGCGAGAGGTGTCAGTTATCAGACATTGTTAAATAAACAAAATATTGCAAGAGTGCTAACGTTTTAAGCATGATTTTATTTTAAGTAAAAAAAAACCCCGTTTGTGTGCTTTATGAAGTTTATCTCTCCGCTACCTGGCATTACCTTTTATGGCACACATGGCCCGGCCCAACAAGGTCTCATTGATGTCAGATCCGGCCCTCATAGCAAATGAGTTCGACACCCCTGCTTTAAATGCTTTTGAGAAGAAGCAAGGGGTGGCGCGCGCCCCTCTCCCTTCCCTCTTCCCACCAGCCCCACATGCCACAAAATCCTGGCTACGGGCCTGCTCCTAACTGTCTTCCTTTCCTTCCATTGGCCGACTGCCGTGAGGTGCAAAGGTGGGCCTTTGAGAGGAGGGAACTCCACATACCTGGAGCCCTGGAGAGGAGGGAGCTCCCCGTTAAGTGAAGCATGGTGAGTTCCTAGCTCAGGAGAAGGAAATGGAGGGGGGGGTGTCTCCAGGGAGAGGGCCACTTGACTTCCTGCCTGCTCTGTGGGCACCCTGTCTCCCTTCCAAACGGTCCCTCACACCCCCTTGCCATACCTGCTTAACTGGGAGAGCGAGCTGCCAGACAGTTCACTGGATTGCGGCAAACTGGGGAGCGCTGCGGTGTGCGGTGGCCCCGAAGGCAGCAGTGAAGCGGTGGCGGCCACTGTGCTAGGCAAAGGGGACCCTTTGGCGGGTAGCGAGGGAAGAGAGGTTTCCGGCTTTGACACTGGAACTGAAGGAGTATCTGAAAGAAGGGGGGGGGGAGAGAGAAACAGGCTCAGAAAAGAAGAAGAGATTGGATTTATACCTGGCCCTTCACTACCCAAAGGTGTCTCAGAGCGGCTTACAAACTCCTTTCCCCTCCCCTTCCCACCATAGACACCCTGTGAGGGAGGTGGGGCTGAGAGAGCTCTGACGGAAACTGCTCTTTTTCAAGGACAGCTCTGAGAGAACTTGTGACTGACCCAAAGTCATCCAGCAGGTGCAAGCGGAGGAGTGGGGAATCAAACCCGGTTCTTCCAGATTAGAGTCCGGGCACTTAACCACTACACCAAACTGCCTCTACACCAAAAGGGTTCCCACCCAGCAATGAAGATTTGGGGAGGGAAAAGTGATATCTGCCACCCCTGCATAGGCTGATGCCAAATCTTTTTCCTGGCATCGAAGACGGCAGGATTCATCCAGAGGTTCATAATCCCACCGTTTGATATAACCTCTCATTGACAACTGAATGTAACAGAGTTAAGTGGCAAAGCGATACTCATACGTAGGACATCAAATGCTAATCTGGGACTGGTAAAAGGCAAAGGGTCAGTCTTGACGGCCTTCGTAAAAGCTATCAAAGAACGACACTTTGATTCCTCCCCCAGTAGAAAAGAGCAAGAGTCCGGGAGCATGTTAAAGCCAAGAAGTGAGCCGTGACTCACGGAAGCTCCTCTCCTGCCACACATTTTGCTAGTCTTTAAGGTGCTCCTGGACTCTTGCTCTTTTCTACTGCTACAGACAGACTAACATGGTGACCCAGAGGTCATTTTGTAGAAAAAGAGGTGCAGGGGCTCATTAGCATAACTCATTAGCATATGCCATGCCCCTTGACATCACCGGAAGTGTGTCAGAAGGCAACACCCACCACTCAGGCTCCACTGGACTCTTTTGGATTGCTAGCTATTGGGGGGGGGGGAATGTGCAGATGTGTCCTCGCAGAGGAGGGAGAGCTTGTACCTGAATAAAACCTGGTCTTATAGGTGCCACTGGACTGTTTTGGATTGCTTGGGGGGGGGGGGG